CAGCGCACAACAAGATGATCGATCCTAGCAATTGGATTGATCCAGTGACGAACAGCTCTCAAACATGAGGACCCAAGACATGTGTGCGAGTGGGATGGATATTTGGATTTAAATGCTTTGTTTTAGACAACAATTTGAATAATATAAGGCTCCCAAAAACAAACAATACAAATGGGTTAAAGAAATTAATTCAAATTCAAAATTTGAATTAAATATTTGAATTTTGGTGTAGAAATTGAGTCCCAAAAATATTTTGTGTGTCAAACGATGTACAAGAAAAAATCTTTAAAGTACATTTTTCTTACCACAAAAAATTTGTGTATCCTTAAATAATATTTTAAAGAAATTTTTACACACTATTTTGAAACTGACTCAAAAGAATATTTTTAGACAGAGAAAAAAAAATAATTTTTCAACTGACTCAAGAAATAATAATTTTTATCCCTCAAAAATTAATTTGTATATGCAAAAATTATTGTCATCCTTACAAGAATCCTAGACTCAATAAAAATTAAAAAGTCTTCGGAGTCTTCACTTCACTTCAAAAATCTGCGTAGGGGTGAGCGTTGAATTTTATCCCGTAACTTTCTTGATACGCCTCTTTTCTTTTCTCGGTACGAAAAAATAAATTTTCGATTATCGTTTGAATTTCATCATCCTGTTTGTCATTTATCAAAACAAAAAATATTCCAGAAAAATAATAAAGGGGTTTGAACTCATGTCCAACACGAAGGCCAGGACTTCCGTCGATGGCAGAAGAAGATGCACTTCCTTCTCACAACATTGAAGGTCGTGTATGTACTTAGCACGCCTATGCCACAGATCATGGATGACGATACACTGGAACAGACGAGGAAGCGGTGCAAGTGGGAGAACGATGACTACATTTGTCGAGGACATATTCTAAACGGTATGTGTGACTCTCTGTTTGATGTATATCAAAATGTTGAATCTGCAAAGTTACTGTGGGACGGTCTAGAAGAAAAGTACATGGCCGAGGATGCTTCGAGCAAGAAGTTCCTCGTCAGTAACTTTAAGAATTATAAGATGGTTGACTCTCGACCGGTCATGGAACAATACAATGAACTGTTGAGGATCCTGGGCCAGTTTGCATAGCATAACATGGCAATGGATGAATCCATATCTGTGTCTAGCATTATAGACAAACTGCCTCCTTCGTGGAAAGAATGCAAACGTGAGTTAAAGCATAACAAGGAGGAAATGAATTTGGTGCAACTTGGAACCCATCTTCGGATTGAGGAGTCCATCCGAGATCAAGAGGGAAAGAAGGTGAAGGACATAGCCGGTCCATCGTCCATCAACATGGTCGAAGACGAAGGTTTCACCAAAGTGAAGAATAAGTCTAAGGGTAAAAAGCGCAAGTCCGGAAATACACCCAAACCTGCAAATAAAAAGGCTAAAATGGGTTGTTGGAATTGTGGGAAACCAGGCCACTTCNCAAGACAAATGTAAGACATGTATGTTAACCAAGATAACTAGAAAACCGTTTAAAGAAATCAAAAGGGATTCTAGTATACTTGAACTCGTTCATAGTGACTTGTGCGATTTTCATGCAACTCCATCTATAGGAAATAAAAAATACATGATCACTTTTATAGATGATGCCTCTAGGTTTTGTTATGTATATCTTTTACATGCTAAGGATCAAGCATTGGAAACTTTTAAAGTGTACAAAACCGAGGTAGAATTGCATAAAAATAACCTGGTTAAAACTCT